TTATTACTATATTAATTTATATATAATACATATTTTACATAACAGGTTTTACTCTAAAATTGGTATAAAATTAAAGCCTTATGTCTAAATAAGTTATGTTCCAAATTTGAAGTTGATATGAAAAAAATTGAGGTTCCTGTGAGATTTTATTTAGGGTGTTATACCACAAACAGCCACCGGTGCCTTCCAAACTCTATTACATTTTTGAATGCATTTTTCTGTCACAAATGTGTAGATTTCTCTGTCAATATTACTTCTATCTCAAAATAACCACCAAATATGGAATCCTGAGACTCAGACCAAAGTCTTGTCAAGATTATGAAAAGTTTTGATTGTAAAAGAGCGTAATGCATTTTGTAATATGACACTTGACGCCACCCACTAAGGGGGAGGAGACCGCCAAAAGATTTTAAAATACCATTTCCATGTTTTCACGCATGGATGAATCTTGGGCTTCTAAGCTTTCAAATGATATATGATTTATGATGATTACTAAAATATTTGATAGAGAAAAAGGACAACAAAAAAAAGAGTGCCAAGCGTCCCACAGGTGGGACGGTGACAGTTAATGATGCTGTTTCTTGTGAATTTGGTCTAATTATATCTACAGGTGGCTTGCAGCAAAGGCCAAAATGTTAATTAAATATGCGAATATCATCTTATCAATTTGTCAGATGTTTTTTTTTTTTTCTTTGTTACCAACCAGCTCCGAGATTAATCACAAAAGCAATTGTTTTGAAACAAACCTTTTTTTGTGAAGGTAGTTATCTCATGAATCATTGCAAATCATCAAATCAAATCAGCAATGACAGTACAATCAATCAATCAATCAATCAATCAATCAATCAAGGTTAAACAGGGTATACTCATTACCAAAAGGATATGGTATGTTGTGTATTTCATATTCATGCATGCGATTTCCTTTTTTCAGGCAGTATGTATCTCACCCTGCTCTGTTGGAGGAAGGAAGACTGTATTTTTTCCCTGCATTTCCTGTGTGGGATGGAAAAGGATATTCATTATACTCTAAATATAAAGTATACACGTATCCATAAACACACAGAATTCATTAGAAACATAAAAAGCAGATATTCCCCGCTCTTTCTCTGTTTCTCCTTCCTTCGTAAACATGGCTGCTATTATCTGCTGCTTGTTGTAAAATACTTGAATAGCTCCATATGTTTGTGTTTTTGTGAAGTATGCCAGAGAAAGTTTATTAAGCGTTTATTAGTCTATAAATCAGTACAGATGTGCTGCATCTCTGACTGTGGATATGTTTACTGTAGGCAAAAAGAGTGTAAAATGAGAAATGCAGAATACGCTGTAATGTAAACTTTTTGAGTATATGCATTGCAGGGCACACTGCAAAGTTGTGTTTATTCTACACTGTAATATTTACAGGGTTTCTGCTACAGTGTGATGTAATTTGTATTTCCTGTACTGACTCTGAGATTATTCATATCAGTATAGGAATATAAAATGCTTGCTTGTTTATTTATTTATTTGTTTGTTTGCCCTAACAGAGAAAAAACAGTTGCCAAAGCAGCCAGTAGGTAGGCATTATGCAAACGTGCATAATGAAAAAAAAAAAAGAAAGCTTAATCTTTGTCCTTTAACACGCATATTTTCCAGTGAGGTACAACAAATAAACTTAATTCAACATATATTCTCTAAAAATGTGTTATCTTATTTGTACTGTATTTATTTATTACTTAGTCTACGTCATAGATTATTTTACAATCCTAACATTAATAATTTTCCCTGATCTTTCTAGAGCACCCACTCAAGATAAACCTCAGTCCCATCAAGGTGATGCTTTACCTTCCACAATGATCTCCACTGTGACCTGGCAGCTCCCAGCATCATTGACAGTTTCACAGGTGTACCGTCCTCCATCGTCATCCTGGACTTCCTGGACCACCAGACTAAAGCTTCCACGAGCACTGTGTTCCATTGAATAATGATCTCCTGCTATCAGTAGCTTCCCTTTCCTAAACCAGCAAACCTGGGGCTCTGGAAAACCACGCACCTGACAGAGATCACATATACACAAAATGTAAAATCAGTCAAAACATACATAAAGGTAACTATGTCTTTCTCTGTTGCAAAGGCACACAACCGCATAAACGCAGTGATTAGAGCAGCAGTAATTAGTCACCACGACTGTCCAAGCAAACGAGTGAGACACAGACATATGGCAAGAATCCTGTCACTAGCATTCCTGAGTCTGACCAAAGGAAGCTGCTGGGTGTGTAAAGCAAGCCAAGACTGTGTTCCATAACTGAAAGGTTCAAATATGAACAGCATTCTGGACATGCTTAAAACCCAGTGAACAGAAACGGGAACAGCCTTCATTATTAGTTACTCAGTAACTGATTATCAGTGTTGTCCTGCTTAAAGACCAAACGGCTAGAGAGTTCTGCTACTCATTTCCTGAGAGCGCTGCATGTGTGTGTGTTGTGTGATGGACAAGAGACATTTCGGTAACACTTTATTTTAGGGTATCCTAACTAGTTGCTTATTAGCATACATATTACTAGAATATGAGCCATTTATTAGTACAAATTAAGCACATATTAATGCCTTATTCTATTCTACAGCCCTAATCATACCCAATACCTAAACTTAACAACTACCATACTAACTATTAATAAGCTGCAAATTAGGAATTTGTTGAGGGAAAAGTCGTAGTTAATAGTGAATAGGTTTTCCATATTCTAAAGTGCTACCGAAATGTCATATCAGTTGCAGCACCTCTTTTTCAGTATTTATGGTTATGCCAGAAATTCAAAAAAAATACTTAGGAAAAAGTACAAAAAATGAACCATGGTAGGATTTCTACCATGGATTGTTGTACATAGTGCTATAGTAATACCAGGGGTGCCCAATCCAGCTCCTGGAGGATCAAATTCTTCCAGAGTTTAGCTCCAGCCTGCTATAACACAACAGTCTGGATGTTTTTTGTAATCCAAGGCTACGTCTAAAAGCCTAGGCAGCTGACTTGTTGCCTCGCTGCCCTGCCAGCCCATGACTTCGCAGGCAGTGTTTGCACCTGAAGGTACCTCCCTAAATTAATTTTGGACAGACTTCTGATGATGCGTTCAAGTCGGATAGATCGTATTTAAGAGTTGAACACACATGAATGCCACCACAAGTCATTATTACGAGTGGGAAACTCAAAATGTTCTTTAAGCCTCGAGTTACTGAGTTGGATGCAGCCAAAAACTATAGATATGCAGCGTCTGTATTAATGGCAAATTTGTTTAAATGAATTTTTTTTTTTGCATGTACAATAAAACTATGAAAGTTATACATAATTTTATAGTTTTGCATCACCTTCATGACTTGAATAAAACAGAAAAAAGCAAAAACACAATGATGCACATTCTTTATTCATCATGTTGTAGATTTTAAAACATCGGTTGCATTTTATGTAGAAAAGTTAAATCGCCATCTTGTTCCGACCAAGTCAAATCTCTATTTTCACGTTCCGTACAATAGAATCGCCAATAATTAGAGCACTTTGATCATGTTTCTCAGTGGATGCGTCACTGAGTGGGGAGAACCTGTTTAATGTTTTGATCGGAAA